CAGGGAGCAGTGCTGGCCTGGGCGCCCGCAGATCCTGGGGTGCTGCCCGTCCCATGCACAGTCCCGGTGGGGTGCACGGGGAGTCCGGTGCTGGGGATTCCATCCTGCCCTGGTCCCGCCTCTATCCCTCTCCTCTTTAATGTGTAGTTGCGTACTGCCTGGCTAGTAGACACGCTCATGCAGTGTGAGTATATTTACCAGCCAGGCAGTACGCAACTACGTACTGATACTCATGATCATAATAAAACTTACTTTATTAGAAAATACTGGATATTTATGTGTCCAGTATTTTCTCAATTTGTTTCCCGGACAGAAAGCTCAAATACCAGACTGTCCAGTTCAAAACCGGACACCTGGCAACCCTATGCCTGTCTCCATGCAAAAAGCATGCAATGAGCTGTACAGATCATTGGAGCTATCATCGGGTTGTGTGTTTTCAAAATGACTCTCGTAGTTTTAGTCACAAAAGTGAGTTTGCAGTGTTTTAAGTTAATGTATTTTGTAGCAATGTAAATACTGCAGAGGCCCAGGTTTTCAAAACTAGACATACAAAATGCCCATGAACATTGTTTGACTGCACACGGATACTGTAAATGAGCAGACAAGGGAGTAATTGCACCTACAGCTGGCCCTGGACATGTTCTTACTGCGTTTTGTGTGCAAATGTGGTAAATGCACACACAAATGATCAACCATACATCTAATGTGTGGTTTGCATGTGTTTACTTTAAATGAGTGTCTGTCGTGTTTATACAAGGAAACATTTTCAAAAGTGCCTCAGGTGGAGATTGTCAAAGGCACAAATAAGTTAAGCACCTAGTTTGCATTAACATCTCTGATGCACTTTTGAAAATTACACTTTAAGTCAGCGGTCTCCGACCTTATTAACCACAAGATTGCTTTTTCAATGTAAATGCAATGTAAGATCTACCTAAGCCCAAATACCTGGCCCCGCTTCCTTCCCACCTTTCTTTGAGGCCCTAGCCCTGTTCCACCCCTTCTCTGAGACCTCACCTTGCTCGCTCCATCCCCCTTCCTCCTCCATCCTCACTCACTTACACCAGGATGGGGTAGGGGTGTGGGGTACAGGCTCTGGTCTTGGGCTAAGGGGTTTGGAGTGTGGGAGTGGCTCTGGGCTTAGCCCAGGGTGGGGATTGGGTTTCAGGAGGGGTTTCAGGGTGCAAGATCTGGGAAGCAGTATGGACGGAGTGGCCACCAGAGCACCTGTGCTTTTTCCTCTTTCCTCTTCTTTCGAACAAACTCCCTCTTCCCCGGCCACACACACCTTTTTCCGAAAGAGATCTTTTGGAAAAAGGCTTTTTCTTCATAGAAAGAGGTTTACCAGTGTCGGAAAAAAACATCTGTTTTTTCAATATGTGTCGAAAGTACGCAATTGCAGTGTGGTCATAACTGGAGTTTTTTCGGAAAAACAGCTATTTTTCCAAAAAAGCTCTGCAGTGTAGACATACCGTTTAACAGAGATGGTTTCCTGGTGGTGGAGCAGTGGGGTTAAGGCAGGCTTACTCCTGGGGCTGCAGGAACATGCCAGCCACTTCCAGGAGCAGCAATTACCATGGGGATAATTACTTCAGCCACAACAGGTTTGGCATTTGAGAACTCACGCCTCAAAGAATTAAATGTAAGCGTAAGAGAGAAATGAACATTATGAAATTCACTGACCAGTCAAAAACCAAAATAACCCACTTTGCAAGCAGTAAAAGAAGTAACAAGGACACCCCACATATGCGTTCGGTCAGGAGAGTGAAGGACAGTGTGTGTTTGTAAGAATGACAGACACACACTGGCTACGTCTAGACTGGCATGATTTTCCGCAAATGCTTTTAACGGAAAACATTTCCGTTAAAAGCATTTGCGGAAAATCATGCCAGTCTAGACGTAGCCAGTGTGTGTCTGTCATTCTTACAAACACACACTGTCCTTCACTCTCCTGACCGAACGCATATGTGGGGTGTCCTTGTTACTTCTTTTACTGCTTGCAAAGTGGGTTATTTTGGTTTTTGACTGGTCAGTGAATTTCATAATGTTCATTTCTCTCTTACGCTTACATTTAATTCTTTGAGGCGTGAGTTCTCAAATGCCGTGTGATTTCTCACAGTCACTGTGTGTGAGAGTGACAGAGATTTACATTGCAAAGCTCCCTCTGTCCCCTTCTCGCTGTGTGGAGATGAGATACAGGAGTGGAGGGAGGAGGGACACCCTGACATCAGCATCCCCCTTCTCCCTCCCACATCCTGCACAGTCAGCAGGAGGCTCCCAGGGGGGCAACTCCCAGGCAGAGAGCAGGAGCAGCATTACAGTGGGGAGAAGGAAAACTGAAGTGCCAGCCCTTGATAGCTTCCTGGCCAAACCAGTCAGGATCACCCATCAGAGGCTCCAAGATCTACCAGTAGTTCCCAATCTACTGGTTGGTAACCACTGCCTTAAGTGGTTTAGGAGCCTAATCCCTTTTAGTGGAATGAGTAGATATGAGTGAATACTCCGAAACAGGCCTTGGAGGAGTGAATGACTGAAGAGACTGAAGGATATAAAGTCTTTAATTTCCAGTTGACCAGTTCAAATCCAGCCCAAGTTGGTAACAATCAGCAATTTTTATCACCTGTTGTCTTTTAGTGACCTACATGAAAGATCTGCATAGACAGATGTCCAATTTGCAGAAGCTGTTCTTACAGGTCGGGTGCCTTGATTGTCAGTCTCATGAGAAAACACAAGGATGGAAGGAGCATGGAGACTGAGCTACCATCTTTCATGGAGATGGTCCCTGTGGGTCGGATCTGGAAATGAGGGGAAGATTTCACTGGTATTGTGTCTCATGTGGATATGAAGAAAGTTTCGGTCTCCAAGAGCTGCCAGTGGAGTTGGCACTTTTATCAATGCTAAATTCATTTTTTTTTGTAATAAATGAGAGGATTACATGACAATTCTTGTGGGAACTACCATTGCAGCAGCGAGATACTCCCTTCTCAGCTCAGGGAAAGCTTAGAATTTGGAAGCAAACAAATAACTAGAGAAAACTTTAGACAATGCACTTTCCGGGCAAAGGGCCAAGGTGTGAATACAGGTAACCCAGCCCACCAGTTCTCATTACAAGTCTATCTGAAGGCTACCAATTTGTGCTGTAGGAAATTCCTTATGCTTGATGACAGGTATGTGTGGAAATAAGGCTATGTCTAGACTATGCTCTATTTTTGAAAGAGAATATGCAAATTCCGATCTTTCAAAAGTGAAAGTAGTTTGGACGCAGGTTTTTTTTCTGGGAAAAAAAACCGCTTTTTCAAAAATAAAACAACAACAAAAATGCTCTTTCTTAAAAAATGAGGTTTATGTGATTTTTTTCGCAAAAAGGGGAGTTTTCCCGGAAAAAAAATGCGTCTAGACTACTTTCACTTTCAAGTACCTAAGTGTGCTGGACAGGAATGAGGGACAGGCCCCTGGATCAGGTGGCCCTTGGTTCTAATCCTAACCACTAGACCTTCCTTCCTAGCACAGTATTATGTGGTGTTCTGGAGGACACATTTTGGAGAGGAGAGATGCATGCTAGAGTAAAGGCTGACAGTCATTGGTCATGGCCTTATAATAAAGAAGGGCAAATTCAGATCTGGCACAAAGCATCACTCCCAAGCTGTTGGAACAATTCACAAAGGCTACGTCTACATTGGCCCCTTTTCCGGAAGGGGCATGTTAATTTCACGAGTCGTAATAGGGAAATCCACGGGGGATTTAAATATCCCCCGCGGCATTTAAATAAAAATGTCCGCCGCTTTTTTCCGGCTTTTAGAAAAGCCGGAAAAGAGTGTCTACACTGGCCCCGATCCTCCGGAAAAAAAGCCCTTTTCCGGAGGATCTTATTCCTACTTTGTATGCAGAATTTGGAGTAGGAATAAGATCCTGTAGGAATAAGATCCTCCGGAAAAGGGCGCTTTTTCCGGAGGATCGGGGCCAGTGTAGACGCTCTTTTCCGGCTTTTCTAAAAGCCGGAAAAAAGCGGCGGACATTTTTATTTAAATGCCGCGGGGGATATTTAAATCCCCCGCGGATTTCCCTATTACGACTTGTGAAATTAACATGCCCCTTCCGGAAAAGGGGCCAATGTAGACGTAGCCAAATAGTGCAAGGGGAAGATCCAGACATCCCCATGTAACTCACTTCTGCAGCCAGACTGGTATTGCCCTATCAAGTGAGAATTTGCATGCGGTATTTGGTTGGTTCTCACTTGGACAACTTCCCGGGAAGTCCCCATGAAACTGTGTTCAGCAGACAACCAGGGGAGAAGTGATGTACTAATGTAACAGCCATACTCCCCATTGTGGTGGGGTGTGTTTTAGAGCTGTGGATTACTTGCCCCACATTCCCAATGGTGATGCACTTGGCACATCTTGGCTGGATCTTATAATACCCCTCAAAACAAGTCTTCTTACTACACACATTTGTAGGAAAATCTGTCCAACAAATCCAAGCTGGTCTTCTGCCAAGACTGCCACATCTTAGCCTCAGCAGTTTGGTGGTACCCAACAGGCAAAGTCTGCCCCATGCTAAATCCAGGAATATCCCTTTTTAAGATGACAAATGCCTTTATTGCTGAGATGTTTTTCTGATGACAAAAATGGACCACAATAAATATGCCTCTGGTGTCTGAGCTTGTGGTTTTTCCCTTCCAGGATGAGAAGAACCAAATGATGACCACGAACATGTGGGTGAAGCAGGTGGGTCCACCCAAAAGGTGTTTTCTTGTATTGATTTTTGGTCTATATTACAGTTCTAATGCCTGGGTCCCTGGTCATTGATCTGTGTTTTCCCAGGAGTGGTACGACTACAAGCTGCGTTGGGATCCTCTGGAGTACGAGAATGTTACGTCCATTCGAATCCCTTCAGAACTCATCTGGAGGCCAGATATTGTTCTCTACAACAAGTGAGTCTCAGCTCCAGAGCCGAAAGAGAACTGAATTCCTTTAAAAGGCTGCTCCACTCATGACACTGGGGAGATGGTTGTAATTTTCTCTCACCTATTCCATGTGATGATTTTCTTGTCAATACAGGTTTTAATGCTACCATCATTCTGTAGCATCTTCCAGGCATACGTTAAGCAACATTTGCTTCGGGGGGGGTGTGTGTGTGTGTGTGTGTGTGTGTGTGTGTGTGTGTGTCTCTCTCTCTCTCTCTCCCTCTCCCTAGGCCCACAGTGGTTCTCAACTTGTTTCAGTCCACGGACCACCAGGCCAATCAAAAAATTTTCGTAGACCACCTCCTTTTTGAGACATGATCAAAAAGAGCAGACAACGAACATTTTGGTTTGAAATTTATTTCTTACTAACAGATTTTTGGTGCCTGTCCACACCGTGTGACTTTGGACAATGTTCCTATGGACCACTGAAAAAGTCACCATGGACCATCAGTGGTCCATGGACCACCAGTGGAAAACCACAGCCTAGAGGAAGAACTCTGCATACAGTGAATTGCTTTGTTGGGGTAGGGTTTTGATTTTGTTTTAAAGCACATCCCTGTAATAATGAAGCTGCTAATCCCAGAGCTCCCAGCTCAATTAAGTCCCTTTTGAATAACCATCCATCCAAGCTCTCTGTATTCCACCACCACCACCAGTTACAACAATGAACATCTGAAGATGGTGTGAAAATGAGGATAATATACGGGGGGAATGTCATGGATCCCCTCTGTCCAATATAGGCTGAAAAGGAACATTTTCTGGTTCTAACTGCTCAGGGGTGGGCAATAACTCAGTGGCGGTTCATTAGCCCCCGGCCGGCTATCCCCACTATATTTAGCTGCACAGCTGCAGATATGGGCCATTGCAGCTCCCATTGACTGCAGATCCTCGTTCCTGGCCAATGGAAGTGACAGGAAGCAGCACGGACTGGGACACCACTCCCCACAGCTCCCATTGGCTGCGAACAGTGATCTGCAGCCAATAGGCGCTGCGATCGCTGGCACCTGTGGCTATGTGATAGGACTTGCCAGGAGTTAACCTTGGTAGATTGGATTCAGCCTGTAGGCAGGTATTTGCTCACCCCTGTGCTCATGGATTGTGATCTGTATTTCACTTGACCACCTCTTCTTCCTGGGCAACAGAGCAATGTTCTCTAACTTACCAACACGATCTTTGCAGAATGTGATAGGAGAAAGGGAGGAGTGTTTCTGAGAAATTGTTTACAAACTTGCCTTCAGCTTCTTAGGCTGGGTAGCTGTTAGGGCTTGTTTTTTAGGTTCTGGCTTTGGCCCACAGAATCTCTAGTGTTATTTGTGAGTTAACTGTAATAGCTGTATCTGTGTGGGGGAAATCTGGGCATCATATAGACACGTATGGCAGGAGAAGGTGATTGCCTTCTGTGACGGCGTGTTGGGGCTTTCCCGTCTCCTGCACCCTCGTAATGGCACGGACAGACTCCACCAGCCAGTAGAACAGAGGGATTTTATTGCTTCTCCAGGATATAGCATAGCACAGATGTAATCTGGTTACAGGGCAGGCCTAGGATGCCTCAGCCCCCCTTGAGATGGGGGAGACCGGGCCCCTAAATCCCAGCCTGTTGCCTAGGCTGCTTCCTCCATGATCCCAGACAGAAACTAACTCACTCTTCCAGCCCTGCCCCCAGCCAGGGCTCCACTCCCCTTCTTCCCATTGTTCTGCTCCCTGGGAGATACCTGTCTGACAAGTTTCCAAGCCCTCTTGCATAATGACTCATCCCCTACCCTGCTGGACTGTGCTGTAGCCAGCAGCCAGTGGAAGTCACTCACAACCCACTGCCCAGCATAGCAACCAGCAAGGTATCCCCCACTACGTCACACCTTCTTTACTTGATACCGTTGGACAGCAATGGCCAAATGTGGTTCTGAGCGAGCCCTGTACAAGCTCAGTGTTAGCCACTCCAATGTCAGAACCCAGAGGAGAGAAGAGAGAGGAGAGGAGAGGAGAGGAGAGGAGAGGAGAGGAGAGGAGAGGAGAGGAGAGGAGAGGAGAGGAGAGAGTACGGGTTAGTCTACACTGCACCATAGGTCAAAATAAGATACGTAATGGGAGCCACGAAAATTGCATATCTTATTTCGATGTTATTTTGAAAGAGTCTACACTGCACTATAGGTCAAAATAAGATATGTAATTGGAGCCACGAAAATTGCATATCTTATTTCGACGTTATTTCGAAATAGCTTATTTGGCACTGTCTACACAGCACTTATTTCTAAATGAATTGCTATTCCAAAATGTCCCTTACTCCTTGTGAAATGAGGTTTACAGGGACGTCGGCAGAGCGATCCCATTATATTTCAAAATCATGGGCGCACTCAAAAGACCTCCAATATCCCGAAATAGCGCTGCAGTGTAGCTGTTGCCTATGTTACATTCCTGATGGGAACATCAGAGTGACTCTCACACATTCCTGAGTGCCAAGGAACGTGGGCCAATATTTTTGTGACTCAAAACAATGAGTTTGTTTTGCTGTGCATTGTGAGGTCCTGTCGTGCATTGCGGTGCCGGTTCAGAGGGCAGCCTGCTGCTGACGTCGATCCTTGTGATTTCTAAAAGCGTCACGAGTTTTAACATGGATGATTATTGCTCTACAAATTCCCACCAGGAAAGTCTGCTGTCCAGGGTTGGCTAATCACTGCTCATCGTTCTCTTCTTCTAAAAGTTTCGCTTGCCCAACCAGAGATTAGGAACCATGTGACTTTGGGGAGGGGGATGAGAATCACACAGCAGGGATAGTCAATGAGCTAGATTCTCAAATGCACTATAACAGACCCTTTACATATCTGGGGCGGGGGGAGCAGTGGTAAAGGTAACTTTTAGCAGCCTTTTTGCTCTCCATATTTTGTAGCTGGCCAGAAACAAAACCAGCTCTTGGCATAATACAGGGCATGAAGGCTGCTGTTAACTGTCATCTGAAGCACCCTACTGCCTCAGCATGCCCTCTATATATTTGAAACAAGGACACATTGGGGTGGAGGAGCCCAGATGACCTGTGCAGTGCTCTGTCCGGCTCTCTGCTGATGGAACAGTTCCTATGGGATAATAGCATTGATTAGATATGCAGATTAGACATGTAATCAATCACACATCTAGCTTCTTTGCCAAGCTGTACACTAGCATTATTGAAAGCACAGAAGAATTATCTGCAAAGCATGCTTTAGAGTCTTCTATTCTTCCCAAGATGCTTTAAATGGGATTGCTACTCCTGGTTCTTCCAGAGTTTTGTCTCATTGAATCATAGGCGATTAGGGTTGGAAGAGACATCAGGAAGTCATCGAACCCAACTCCCTCTCAGTGCAGACCGACCCCAACTAAATCATCCCAGCCAGGGCTTTGTCGAGTCTGGCCTTCAAAATCTCTAGGGATGGAGATTCCACCACCTCCCAAGGCATCCATCCCAGTGCTTCCCCACCCTCCTAGTGAAAGCATTTTCCCTAATATCTAACCTAGACCTTCTCTACTGCAACTTAAGACCATTGCTCCTTGTTAAGAAATGAATGGGTTAAAAATATATCTAGGGGGTTCGCAGTTGTACAGGCTATTGAAATGATCTTTTCCATTTGCTTGTCTCCAGGGGCTTGATCCTCTCCGGTGCTAAACCATGCAGCTCTGTTTGAATTCACCGGAGGTGGGGTGTGCTAAGCAGCTCTGAAGATTAGCCCCATGTAATTATTAATTCATGGGCACTCAGACCATCTTATCCTATAAGCCAAACACTAATATATGATTAGCAGCTTAGACTGCAGCCAAGGGAAGGGGCAAACAATTTCCTGTATTCTTAATATACATGGGGGGAGGGTCCCTGTTTCTACACCGACCGGACACAGAAAAATGCAATGTCCCTGTTCAAATCTTTTTCGGGCAGCCCCTGAAAAATCCAGCAAATCCAGATACTGATGGAATGGGATTAGAGCCTGACAGTGTTAGTAACAGAATAAAAATAATAATGTCTCCTTTACACTGAGAACCATGTATTATTAATAAGAGTTAATTATCAGAATTGCAGTAGTCACGGACCAGAAGCACACTGTACGGGCACAGAGCAAAAAAAGACAGATTATGCCCCAAAGAGTTTACAATCTAAGGCTACATCTAGACTGCATCTCTCTGTCGACAGAGGGATGCAAATCAAGCACACCGAAATTGCTAATGAAGCAGGGATTTAAATATCACGTGCCTCATTAGCATAAACATGGCTACCGCTTTTTTTAATGGAGTTTGTTTTTTAAAAGAGCAATCTAGATGCGGTTCTGTCAAAAATAAAGCCTTTTTCCACAGATCCCGTATTCCTCAAAAAATGAGGTTTACAGGATCTGTCGAAAAAGGGTTTATTTTCGACAGATCCATGTCTAGACTGCCGTTTTTTTGAAAAAACCCCATTTCGAAAAAGAAGCAGTGGCCATGTTTATGCTAATGAGGTGCAGGATATTTAAATCCCCACTTTATTAGTAATTTCGATGTGCCTAATCTACATCTCTCTTTCGACAGAGAGGTGTAGTCTAGACACACCCTATGCGACTACACAAGTACAGAAGGACATAAAAATGACTATAATGGGTCAGTCCAAAGGTCCACCTAGCCCAGCGGCCTGTCTTCCAACAATGGCCAATGTTAGGTGTCCGGTATAATGGGTCAGTCCAAAGGTCCATCTAGCCCAGCGGCCTGTCTTCCAACAATGGCCAATGTTAGGTGTCCCCAGAGGAAATGAGCAGAATAGGGACTTATCAAGCAATCCTACCCTTGTCACCCATTGCCAGCTTCTGACAAACAGAGGCTAGGGACACCATTCCTGCCCATCCTGGCAAATAGCCATTAATGGATCTATCTTCCATGAATCTATCTAGCTCTTTTTTGAACCCTGTTAAAGTCCTGGCCTTCACAACATCCTCTGGCAAGGAGTTCCACAGGTTAACCGTGCACTGCATGAAGAA